CCCGCGAGCGGTGAGGCGCGTGGGAACCTGAGCAGAGACCACAGCAGGCTAAGGGAGGCGCTGCTCCCCTGAAGACCCTGGGGTTGGTGTCAGAAAACAGTGGCTTTGGGCATATTTCTTAACCTCTCCAATGCCTCAGCTTCTTTGTCTGTTTACTGGAGACTTCACAACACTGAGCAGGGTCCTAACGCAGGCGGCCACATAACCATGCTGGGGACGGTGAGAACAGCTCAGGTGTCGGGTGAGTTCGGGACCATGAAGGGTTGGAGGCAGAGGCAAGACCGTGGTGGGTTCTGCTGACCAGGCTGCTCACAATTTCTTCAGAAAAGATGGGCCTGCGGGAGGAATCTAAGTGTAAGAGGAGCTGCGTAGACTTTGTTTCAGAAAAGCCGCTGACCTCGGGAGTTGGTCAGGGGCCCTGGAAAGTCCCCTCCCCTGCTGGTTCATCAAGGGCCATCTGTGTAGTGCCCGGGTTCAAATCTCAGCTCGCCTCTGCGGGAACATGGTGAGACCCACCGAGGTGACGAGCACCCAGCACAGCGCCCGACACAGCACCTGCTGCGAGTGTGGGCATTACAGGAATGACTCATTTCCACCTCCAGGCGGCCAGCACGTGTGTGACGGGCCTCAGTCCTCACTCAGCTGGGCAGACGGCTGCGGCCTCCTCACTGAGGCGATGGTCTGGCCACAAGGGTCCAAAGGAACTGACGCTTAGGCCGGGTGCTGCCTCCCCAGCCCCCCGGGCCCTGTGCTGTGTGCTCTGTGCACGCTGCCTGGGTATGGTGAATCTACTAGACGCCGTGGGGGCCTGCGGGTACCCCAGGTGCTCAATATGCCGGGCACGTAACTGGGGTCCCCGACAGCTCAGGTATTTGCTCTGCCTCAGGTGGACTGAGGACCCCACAGCCTGCTCTTCAGCCCCAAGTCCACAACTGAGTCTCCCCTTCAGCAGCAAGTTAGACAAAGAACTACTTTCTCGCAGAAATCGGGGATGGGGCAACCTCGGGTGTCTAAGCCCCACAGCCTCCCCTCCCGTGGGCCATCCCAGCTCTGGCCAGGGAGAAATGAGGCCACTCCTGCTTCTCTGCTGCCCTTTTCTGTTGCTCGTTACAAGTTCCTGCTGGCCTGAGGTGCCCGGAGACACTCACCCTCCCTCCAATATCCCAGCCCACCCCACGGTTTCCGTGCTAGGGAACTAATATCAGAAGCAAGAGGACTGTGACTGCCATCACTTCAGACTGCGAAACGGGCCGCCCCTCCTTGGGCACAGCTGTCCCTTTAGGAGCCCTGCACGTCCTGCCCTCCAAGGTCTGGCAGATGTGGAGCAAGAGAAACACTCACGTGCTCTATTTCCAATCCTAAAGCCAACGAGGGCACAACTTTACACCGAAATTCCAGCCTCCCCCACCCACAGAGACATATGTCCTCATGCGTGTTAGGAGTAATATTCCTAATGCCCAAGAACAAACAGTGTCTGGCACTTAGTGCTGTGGAAGCGTCTAGACTGAGCGATGTGGCGGAGGCCACGGCGCAGTGGGAAACGCAGGGCCCGTGTATTAACAGCAGCAACCAGCAAAGCCGCTCCCTAAGCCCTATGCATACCCCATAGCGCCCACAACTGCTTCCAGAAGACCAGCCTATGGGCCAGAAAATGATCAGTGCCCATCCGTGTCTGCTTCCGGGGAGACCCAGAAGCCTTCATGCAGGTCCTGTCCTGGCCCCTTCTCCAATGAGGCGGCTCTGGGGGCAGCAACTAGCAGGGGTCCAGGCAGCACACTTGTCCTCTCAGGGCCAGCCCTTCCCTGTGGCATCCCAGCACCCAGGAGACCTTTATCCCTAATCTCTACTCGTCCCATAAATAAACCTATTCAAAGTTGCGGAAGGTGGTGTGCAAGAAAGGGATGGGGCCCTGTAATTCCTAAAAACACTGAAGATCACGTAAACTCACTCTTAGTATTTCCCTCCCTACGGCCAATCTGAACAGGACAAATCCCCATTGGGCAGGAGGATCCCCGGCTCTTACCGGAGCCCGTGGCACCCTCTGGTGGCCAGGCCTGGCGTGGCAGCCACAGCTGCGGCCGTGGCTCTGGGCGAGGCTCAGCGCTTTCTCCCGGGCACCTACCTGACCACCTCAGTCCTCTCAACTGCCCTCTGCCCTCTGGACACAGCTCACCTTCCACGTTGTCCACTCTTGTGCCTCAGGAACTTTTCGGGGGGGGGTGGAGGAAGGTGCAATGGAGTGGGCGGGGGTGAGATGAAGTCAAGCTGGGCGCTCACCGCGACCTGACAAGGCCGCCGAGGCCTGTGCCCAGGCCCTGCCTCCCCCTGGAATAGCCTGATGGAGGATGTGCGGTGGCACCTGCTTAGGCCAACACCGCTAAGGAGCACAGGCACTGGCCACCTGTTCTCGGTACCTGTAAGGATACTAAAGGTGTTTGCCCACGTGGCTGCGGCCATTTCAAGGCTAACGATGGCTGCTAGATTTCAAGGCGTCTCTAGAAAACAAAGGTGCCTCACAACCTGGGCCACAAAGCAAGCAGGCCACATTTGCCCACTCCATGTCTGGGGACAAGAGGGAGGTGTGGGCAGGGAGAGGCATGAGGCTGGTTCACCTACGCTGGTGCCCACATGCTCAGTTTGAGACCCATAGAGCCCACAACAACGAACCAGCAAAGCCCACAGACAGGCTCTCCCCCAGAACAAGGTGCAGGCCCCGATCAGTCTACAGTTATGGAAAAGTACTGGCAAGGCAGGGCAGACAGAGTCCGCGCTTGCAACCAGGGATGTTTGCCAGGAGCAAGGTTTTCTTGGGGAGAGAGGGTGTCTTTGGCACTTGCTTTAAATAGAGCAAGTAACTTTGTTTCCTCAGAAAGACAGTTTTTAAATTTATTTTCTCATCCAAGGGAAAGGAGAAAGAACAGGCCTTTGGCTTCCACTCACCTGGGCTAGATCAAGTGACCTCCTAAGTGCATTCCTGTCGCAATGCAGGTTACCCTAAAAGACGTGTCTAAACCCACCACGCCCCAGCCCTTCAACCTTGTACAGTGAACCCAGAACCAAAACGGGTGCTGGATGCTCGGTTCTGTCGCTGGCGGGCTTTAGGTGTCCATTTACGCTGATAAAGATGGAAAGACGCATCCTTCTTCCTTAAGCAATCTTGAAACATGAAAATCTGTTACATAAACTTGCAACAAGTGAAACTACACTTAATTGATTCTTGAAGCTTTGAAAATGGGGTTGTATCAGTTTTACTGTATGCAAACTCCTACTTGATACAATTTCTTTAGGTGGCTTTTTGGTAACATTTCTGTTACAATTTCCCAGGCTGAGTCTTGAAGAGCTGGGCAAAGCTGTGAGGCCGCCGCCTGGTGCTCAACCAGGTGAGGGCTTGACTCCCCGTGGAGCTGAATAGCCACTGGCATCTTCACTGTTGTCCTCGGCGTTTTCCCAACAGGCGGTTTCATGGGAAGGGGATTTCCGCTTCATTATGTGAAGGAAAGACCATTTTAACACAGGCCGATGCCAAGCAGACCCGCAGCGTTGCTGACGCAACAGGCAACAACTCGAAGTACTTGCCCAATTCTATCTCCTGTCGTGGGGATACGGCACCTACAATCCACTCGTCGGCAATACAGCAGGAAACCTGGCAGGGCCGCGCCCAGATGAACACCTACGGGCACTAAATACCAACCAACGCCTGATCAAGCAGAACGCAAAGGGTAGTGAGACAGAAACCTGTTACAGAAGGGCCCTCAGGGCACAGAGGGAGAGGAGCCCAGTCCATCCCTTCCAGGCAGGCGCTGACTCCGCTCTCAGGCTTGTTCCACACAAATATCCAAAAGGGCAGCTTGCTTCTTACCGTGGGCATCTCAGATCCTTCTGCCAAAGTAGAAGATCCAAAATGTCAACATCTTCACATCTGCATGGCAGGATGAGGTGGGGAAATTCAGGTGTTTACCTCCTGGGGAGCTGGAACGAAGTTGTCAAGACTCCTCCACAGCTCGACGGAGTGGCTCTCTCCAGGCTGGAGGCTCCGTAAGAAATCCTCCAAATCCAATTTGAAAGGTGAGCCGGGGACACTCACCCACCAGACTCTTCACCCAATGACCCTGGGGCTCAGGCTCCACTCTCACAGTCCTCTCTGCCCCCCCCGCAGAGCTGCAGGACTGAAATGGAAACGTGCCAGGCTGTGTTGTGTCTTTGTCCCCATGTTCAGGCGCTTCTCTAGGATACAGCCTGGCTTCACAGTTAACACTCAACAGGTTTTAGGTGACATCACTCTAGTCATCCTGCGTGCAAAACAAGAGGCACTGACTGGAAGGTGAACATACTCGTGCTCACCTGCAGTATCAGTGCACGAGGCAGGGACTGGAACACACCGCCAGGCCTGTCCCTTACTAGCCGCCGGGACCCTAACTTCAGCAGCATCACAGAAAGACCCGTGGCTCTCACGTGCCTGCCTCACCCTCACTCAGCGAGGCGGAGACCACCTCACCATGGATGCTTTTGTCAGGAACTGTGCAGCCTACAGGCGGAGAGGCTAGTGGGGCAGGGAGGTGCGCGCCAGGTGGGCAACAGCTCTGAGGGCAAAGGCTTCCCTCAAGAGTACTTTCTCAACGCAACAGGGACAGTGGTGCCCAGCCGGGCGTGGCTCAGGGGCTGAGCATCCACCTAGGATCCAGGAGCTCGCGGTTCGTTCCCAGTCAGGCCACATGCCCGGGTTGTGGGCTTGATCCCCAGTCAGGGGCGTGCAGGAGGCAGCTGATCAATGGCTCTCGCTCATCACTGATGTTTCTCTCCCCCCCCCCTTCCTCTCCCTATTATATATATGAAAAACAGACAGTGGCATCCGGTCCCAATGGCAGGCAGTTCTAAGAATTTGGACATTTAAAGAAGCCAAACCACTAGTACCCAGACTGTACTCCGGAAATTCCTGTCTGTTGGCCTGAGAACCCCCATCAGACAAGGAGAGACATCCAACTGCGGGACAGCGCAGGCAGTTCTTCTCAGAGAGATTTAATCGCAACGATTGCATGAAAGCGGTCAGTACACTGAAATCTCAGCTACATCACAAACGGCTGTTTTTGTTGTTTTATTTTATTAAAGACCCACTAGTTCTACCCACCTCCAGGTTTATGGCTATAGAATGTGGGAAAACAAACATTAGCAACAGAGTCGTAAAAAACAAGCCAGAGTCTTCTGTTCACCAGCACGTCTCCCCCACGGAGAACAGTCCTTCCAAGAGCAGAGCAGGGAGAGCGACGGGCTTCCCGCAAGCAGGGCCGGGAGCCAGAGCCAGGAGGGAACCGGGAGGGAGAGCTGGGTGCTCCCAGCTCCCCTCAACCCACACTTTCCAAACCCTTAGATTCCTTCTGACACCTCAAGTTTCCCTGTCAACTCAAATGTAATGAAGGTGCCATTTCTACCAGGAGGACCGATTTTTGAGTCTGGGGACAATCTGCCCACTTTTGGAGGAAGCACGGCTTCAAAAGGTCTCTATTCCTTGAGCACTGGGGTGTGTGGGGGGCGTTACCAGCAGGGACTGGGGGCAACGGCCCATGAGTGGCGTGGGGTCCAGAACAAGCCCCCGGTGTTTGCAGGCACCGCCCACAGCGCCACAGTCTGGTAGCTCGAAATAACAGCGTTTAGTGTTCTAGCGGGACCAAGGATTTATTCACAACGTAAGCTGCAACATTTGGTACAAGCTCCCAAAAGGGCAGGAGGGAGGAAGGGGCAGAGTCGAACAGCAGCTGCGGCGAGACTCAGAGCCCTTTCCACACCGTAGCCCGGCCGCCACCCTGGGAACCGACCTGCGCTCTGCACGCCAACCACATGCGAAGCACCCACACACTGCTTGGAAGTTTGTTTTGTTTTAATTCCAGCCACTGAAACAACATAGAAGTTATTGCTCAGATAAATAAACCTAGTCTACCAAGGAAAAGAAAGGTGGGTAAAGAAACAAAACCCCAACAGTGAAAAACTGAAGTTCCCCAACGTGGTGACAGTGAACGGGAGAGAAATCCCTCCAACGAGGATCTACGGAATGTCTGGTGCCCTCGGCACGGACGCCGAGTGGGACTCGCGGCCGGGAACCCCCAGGTGGCCAGGCTCTGATGCTGAGCATGAAAAGGGGGAGCGCCGATGCCTCCAAACGGGTGGGAACCCTGCAGAAACACCCAGCATTTCAAACCTCAACAACCACAAACAGGTTTAAGGAAAAAATACAAAAGGTGTCAAAAATTTTTTTAGTTGTTTTTTTTCTTTTTTTCAAAGAGTTCTGGAAAAACGATCCATGAGGAATAGAAATAGCACCGTTTACAGGCTGGTCTGCACCCCAGCCCTGTGGCTCTGCTGAGAAACTGACGCCCTCGTGCCGAGTCCTGACCGGCGGGGGCCCGGGGCTCACTTCCGGCTCGGCGTGTCCTTGCCCCCGCAGCGCACGCAGACGTAGTCTTCCTTCTCGGCCAGCTCTGGAGAGACACCAACACAGACCTGGTGGAACCACTGGTTGCAGCTGCCATCACACTGGACCCAGTCCACCTGGTTACAAAGAGCAGGGAGACGGGTGTTCAGAGGAAACCGGATTCGCGTCGGCCAGGCCAGCTCAGACCGTTCGACCAGCGGCCGCCGTCCCACCTCCGGGACCAAAGCGACCGAGTCAAAGCCACTCTTCAGGCCGTGGCTGCTTTGGTGACAGTGCCGGCCTGTGACAAGCAAGCAAAGGGCGCGTCCTCGGCATCCCTCCCACCTTCTCGGCGCCAGGGCGGCGACAGCTGGAGGAGCAGGAAAAGGAAAAGGAGAACGAGAGCTTCTTCCAGAAAAGGGAAGGCCCGGAGCGACGTGAGCGCAGAGCGCGGGGAGGCCGCGGCCCCATCGGCTCAGAGGCGAGGAGACCTGGCGCGGCGAGGGGCGCTCACGGGGTCTCGGAGCTAAGGGAAAGCTCGTCCTCTACGGCCCAGACCTCACTGACCTCGTCTCCTTCCGGCTGCAGGCAGCTCCCCGCCGGGCAGATGGCGTCATCCTCAGAGTCCTCCTGCTCCGAGTAGGACGCGTCTGAGGGCAGGGAGTGTGTTTCCGCAGAGCGGACTAGCTCACAGCTGCGCTCCCTCTCCCACGGGAGAGCGTCCGTGTCCTTGGGGTGGCTCAGCCTGATTTTCTTCTTCCTGGGGGCCCGCACTCTCCTCACGCGGCCCCACCGCTCGCTGGCCAGGCCTTCTCGGTCCAGGCGCCTCTTCAGCTTCCTCTCCAGGCTGCTGACTCCATCCCGCTTCCCGCGACAGCAGTCACTCTGGGGGAGACGAGCAAACGCAGTGTCAGCCTCCACTCTGCCTACGACCGAGACCAATGACCACGAGCACCGTGAACGCTGGCAAAGCACTGATTTAATACACACCGCTGCCGCCCTGGTGACCCACAGGCGGCTAACCTACGCCAGTGCTGCCAGGGGAACTCGGTTCGGAAAAGGAGACGCTGCGGACACAGTAACCTCCAATCACCCCCCAGCACAGGGGCTCCATTCTTCTCAGCCAACCCTGTGAGCGAGCGAGCGAGCGAGCGACCGACGGCCACAGAGCGCCTGCCCTCTCACCTCCAGGCTGCCTTCTTCAAGGGCAGACCCCCACCCGCAGAGGAGCAGGTGCACCCACAGCCTGCAACCCGTGAAGGGGTCACGATGACACACACAATTCTAAATGCCAGCCCGGCCCGCGTGGATCAGTGGAGATTGGGGTTCGATTCCCAGTCAGGGCACAGGCCCGGGTTGCGAGCTCGCTCCCCAGCAGAGGGCGCGGGAGGCAGCCAATCAATAACTCTCATCATCGGTGTTTCTCTCTCCCCCCGCCCCTCCCTTCCTCTCTCTGAAATCAATAAAGACATTTAAAAAAACCCCTAATCTGCCTTTGTGCTCCTCAGTGAGGCTCCCTGACCCTGATCACATTCTCAGGGGCCTGAATTGTCCCAGGTCACTTAGTTCACGAGCAGGAGGAAGCAGTAGCTGCACCGGGGACACTCCAGTGTCCCCTCAACTAAGGCGGCACTCGGCACGAGCGTCCTGTCTCATCTGGCCCCCCACCAGCAACCCTGTTAGGGTCAGAGAAGTTAAAGCCTTTGTTAAATATTAACTCCAAGAACATCTCTGACTTTCCCACTATAACTGCATGTTCATCTCCACTGTGTTTCTCTTATGGAAGAGAAACAGCCCTGCTTCCAGGTATTATCACATGGAAACGACAAGCACCGTCTGGCTAGAAAGGAAACAATTCAGACTTGAAAGAGGGACCAGAGTCCAGGCAGGGAGCCCAGTGGTATCCAGCACCTTCCAGCTCCCTGGCAGGCAGCCTCCCCCTTTCCTGGACAGAAGGCACCTCAACTTGCCGGGCTGGTGGTCCCACCCTCCTTCCCTCCCCGGCCGCCCCCCAGACACACTTGCCTTCTCACTGCCGGGCCTGGCTGGTGAGCTTCGGCCGGTCTGCTGAGCAGGGCTTGGCTTTGCAAGTAAAGTCTGGTAAAGCTCCTGAATTTCAGGAAGGGCTACTTGGAGCAGCTGCGCTTCCATCAGCAGCTCGTTCACATCTGGACTCACACCTGTCACGGACCAGACCAAGTCACAGTGCTGACAACTGAGGTGCTGCGCACACTCAGACCTGCGACCCCGGCAGAGGACTGCCCGCCAGGCCACTACCCCGTCCCTTTAAAGTACATCCACTGAAGTTTAGGTTTCACTTAATGTCCCGTGAAGGAGACAGAGCCCAGACTCGATCCCAAGTCTTCTCGTGACTAGGGATGCGCTGGCTCTACGCCGACCCTGCGCGTTACCCTGATGCAGACCAGGGTCCGTCTGCTCTGCTCTGACGGCTTTTGACAGAAAGCACAGCACCGCTCAGGGCACCGGCCACTAAGGCGGAGACGAGGGAGGGAATCCACTGCAGCTTCCAGCAGGGCCCACGGGGCGGCCACGCACAGGCAGGCAGCAGGGGAGGCGGGTTCCGGGGGGCTCACTCTAGGGTTCTCCACAAGCCTCCCCAGTAATGAAGTCACACGGGAGCCTACGACTTTGCCTGATGGAAACGCGTGGGCTTAACCCCTCCACCCCTGAAGGCACTGGAGAGAAAGACTCTGTTTCCTGCGCATTAGGGACCCTTCCAATGCGGCCCTTCCCCACCTTGCAAACACTTGGTAACCAGTTCCTACGCGCTCGGATTAGGTTCTTTTGTTATGGTGCTGACCCTCTATCGCAAAACCCTACTGCAAGATCGCTTGTTGCTACCCAGCCCTCAAAATAACAATAATACAAACCATGGAGGGGAATGCAACTCCATCCTGCCGAGAAGGGAGGGTGTGAATTCGAGGATCTGTTGTCCCCATCACCAGGCAGGGAAAGGGAGACGGTGCCAGGAGGCTGAGGTACCTGACGGAGGAAAGCAGTGAGGTCAGGCGTTTCCAGGAAACTACGCCCAGTCCAATGGAAGCAGCAGGCAAGGCAACTGGAAACAGACGCGGCTTTCCCAGCTGAACGCTGGCCCCGGTGTCTCAGCTCTGACCAGGTCAGCGCGCGTCCACCCAGCCTCAGTCCTCCGGGGTCACTGGACTGACTCCAGGCGGCAAGAGCCCATGGGAATCAGTCGCCTCTGCCTTTTCTGACACAGACGACAGGGCGCGGGACACGGACAGGACCTGAGTCAGCCGAGGAACCGCCAGACACCAGTCACACGTGCCTCCCTCCCCAGTGTCCACGGAAGGAGCCAGGAGACGCTCCTCTGACCCAAGTCAGTAAACAAACAGCAGCAGTGTCCTTTCCCTTGATCAACAAACACGCGCCCCAGCACCCCCGGCCTCAAGGAAACCAGAGTCTCCACTGCAGGCTGCCCAGCAGCCACCACTCACCCAGACAATAAAAATTTAGCTATTTCACAAGTCTGGACATTTTAAAGATGAGGAATTTTAAAACAAAACACCAATTTCCTGTCCTTCTCTCTGACTTGCTGAGCACTGAGCTCGCAGGTCTGTACCCCCACTGACTCCAGGGGTGCGGCTCCTGCAAGCCGTCGGGTTAGCCTGGTATCGACAGATGCAGCCCTCCTGGCGGCACCGTCTCGGGCCTTCAGCTCCTTCCACAGCCAGTTTCCACAGAACCCAGGAAACTGCCCACCCCGGCGACTGGCGGTGGAAGGACCTGACTTTCGACAGTTCGCAGATGGTAGGAGACCTGCTGCCTTTCCTACCCAAATGCCAGGTGCTCGGGCACCTCAAGGCTACTCTTCCACCCAGGGCAACAGCAGAGAGAGGCCCGTTGCCTTCTACTCAGCGACACGAGAAGAACAGAGAAAAAATAAGCACAAAACTTAAAGATGAATAGATATTAAATACATACCTGGCTTCATACACAGAAATGGAAAAACTGTGCGCACATGAAAAGGTGAAACCTGCTCCAGAGACAGAGTGGCTGGGAGACAACCCCTGACCCCCAGGAGCAAGGAGACCAAAGCCCCAGGGCAGGCACAGGGCCCGCGGGGGTGGGGCTCCGGGGCTCAGACAACGGGAGCCATCGCCCACCAGGACCAGGAGCACCAGAGCCGAGGCCCAGCAGGGAGAAAGGGAGAGGGTGCAGCCGACTCCCGGCAGCTGGCAGCGAGGGTTCCGGCTCACCTTGCAGGTCTCGGACGCCTGTCCTGCCGAGGCTGGCCACCTGCTGAGGGACGGCCCGGAGCCCACGCGGTCTTGCACAGGGGTGAGGCTCCCCGACGACAGCAGGTGCTGGGCTCTGTGCTGCCAGCTCACGGTTCTTTCGATCATGTAGCGCAGGGCGTCGCCCTCGGGAAGGCGCACGCGGATGCGCTGCAGGGAGGCCAGCAGGGGCAGGATCTTCTCCAAGGGAGGCTTCTCCGACCTCCGACAGTGGGGACAGAGCCAGACTGGGGGGCCCTGGGCGACGCCGGGCGCCACCGTCACGCAGCCTGTGTGGAACGCGTCCCGGCAGAGTTCGCACTGGATCATGGGGGCAGCGGGGGCCCTCTGGCACACGCAGACCCTCGTCTCCGCGTCCGGCACAGGCGACAGCAGCTTCCCCTCGTTGGCCAGCCTGAGGGCCTGTAAGGCCTCCATTTCCCGCAGGCGAGCTTCCCCGAGCGCCGCCATCTGCAAGGCACGAACCCGGGGACAGTGTCAGACTCAGCCTTCTCCTGGGCCGAGCAGACTGCCGCACTCGGGCCCTGGCTCCGCTGAGCGCGTGACCCTGCTGGGCGCGGACGACCCTGGGCGACGCCCGTGGCGGGAGTTCCGTGTGTGACGTGCAGGAACGTGCCTGCCTCACAGACGGCCACAGCGAGACAGGGGACAGACATGCTGCCTGGCCCCGTGTCAGCAAACACATCACACCCTCCAGGACTCCCAAGTCTAACTTCCCCTAGAAGCGCACTGCTCCCGAACGGCGCCCGCTTTCCCCAGTACTGCGCAACGGCGCCTGCCCTTCTCCACGCTTTCAGCTCGTCAGCCTCAGAAAGAGCAGCTGCCACGTCTCCACACGCGTGGGTGCTCGACCAGCAACCACAGGCAGCGACCCTGGTCCCTCAGGAGGAATCCAAGAGAAGCCACTTCACCAGACTCTCTCGCACACAACGGAGGAAGGTGAGCGCGATCACGGGCCGAGGCAAGGCAAGCCGCCTTTCTGCAGGAAGCGGCCAGCTCATGCTGCCAAGTCTCTATCAGGACAAGAGCCACGTCCCAGGAGAGGGCTGAGTCAGTTAACCTGGAGGCACGACCGAAAGCACAGCAACAGCCCGGCCGGCATGGCTCAGCGGTTGAGCATCGACCTAGGATCCAGGCGATCAGGGTTCGATTCTCGGTCAGGGCACAGGCCCGGGTTGCGGGCTTGATCCCCAGTCGGGGGCACGCAGGAGGCAGCCGGTCAATGACTCTCTCATCATTGATGTTTCTCTCTCTCTCCCTCTCATGTCCTCTCTCTGAAATCAATGAAGATATATTTTTTAAAAAAAAAAAAGCACAGCAACAGCCTCAGCCTCTCACTGAGAAGCTGGGTGACACCGATACAATCCCACCCACACATGGAATCTAAAAAATCCCGAACTCAGACATCGGGAACAGGCTGGCGGTAGCCAGAGGCAGGGGCTCAAAGGTACAGACGTCCAGCTTTAAAGTCAGTCAGTCCTGGGATGTAATGCACAGGGTGGGGGCTTGAGTTAACGACACCGGACTGAATATTTGAAAGTCGCTAAGAGGAAGCAGATCTTAAAAAAGTTCTCATAGGAAAACAAAGTCTGTCTGTGGGTGGTGAGGGGTTAACCAGGGTTCCTGCGCTTACCTCACACCCCACCCATCAAGTCACCCTTCTGTACCGAAACTAACATAATGCTGTGTGTCAATTATACCTCAAAAAAAAAAAAGAATTTTTTTTCTTGTAAAGCACCCAAATCACACAGCCGCCCCCCCGTGTGCTCAGAGCTGTAGCTGGATGCTGGACACCAGGTGCTTCACCCCCCAGGCAGCACCGCTGAGTCCACACTGCTTACTAAACGCAGGCCAGGCCTGGCGTCCAGAATGCCCGCTCTCAGGTGCATTTCTCACTGTCAGGCCCTCAGCATGCGGGACCCCCCCCGATCTGGGCTGCCTCTGCATCTTCCACGGAAAACTTTTACTTTCAACACTTTTCAGTCTTTCTGGCAGAGCTGAGTATTTGCAACACTCTTCTGTGTGCCTTCCCAACATCCGTGTAAATGGGAAGTCGGGAGCTGCCGCCCGGGGGGGG